AATGTTCAGGTAATGTCAGGTCACGTCAGGTCATGTCATGTCATATTGCTTCAGTTCAAGATTAAGCTAAAAGGTCATGTTTTTTTCAGTAAAACAAAATATTAGATTAAATCATATATTTAAGATCTAATCATATTTTTTCAAGTTTAACTAAAGATAAAGTAGTACTTGATAATTAAATAAACAATTAGAACTTTTAGGTTAATTATAACCACATGAGTTTAAATCAATTAATAGCAGAAGTATCAAAATTCAATGTTAGGTCGATAGAAAAAAAGGATTTTTCAGAAAAATTATAAAAAAGCAACGTCAAAAACTTGCATCATTTCAGGGTGTTCCCAAACGGAGATGTCCTCTATAGTATTAGGGTAAAACATTATCTAATTATAATTTCATAAATGAAAAATTGATCCTAGTGACTTTCAATTTAAAGAATATTGATCTGAAATTTAAAGGGACTGTAAGCGTAATTTCAAGTGACCCTCTGTTCAATGATGACAATGCCCAATTTTCAATGGTACCCTTGAAACCTTATTATGACCAAAATGTGGAGGATACCGTCGTTTTAATGACTCGAAAATCAACGTTATCTATTTCTCTGAGATTTCTATTGGTTCATAGAAACAAAAAAAATGTGTGCAAGTAACTTTCGTAGAGCAACTGCATATAGAAAAAATCAGTTTGAAGAAACGAAAACATTGATATCTAATTCATAATTGACCAGACTAAGCTATCCAGTGTGTCCTCACAAATCGGGCATTAAGTCATCCTTGCATCGAGGGTCACTTAATTTTATGCCTATTGTGAACAGTCCTTTACATGAAGATAATTAGTTCCTATTCTCTAGGTTTCTTTAACTCTTTCCTGTCCAATGGATCTTGAATTGTTTCCATTGGATACACAGACATGCCAACTAAAGGTAATACTACTACTACTACTACTACTAATAATAATAATAATAATAATAATAATAATAATAATAATAATATTAATAATAATAATAATAATAATAATAATAATAATAAAATTAAGAAATAATTGTGATAACGTTGTCAATACTTTTAATTAAAATGCTGTCCAAAACCTCGCGGATTGTGATTTAAAACTTTAATTTAAACTTTAAAAACTAATTTTTCATCAATGTTAATTTTTGTTCTTAAAATCAACGGAAGAGAGTGGTATTGTAAATATACTACAATTACTACTCTGTCTTTACAAATTATTATTCTCTAATTTTTCTTATTTTGTGTTTCTGTATTAAGGTTGCCAGTTATGGTTGGACCTCTCAAGATCTTATTTATACATGGAAGGTAAAACATAAACACGTTTGTAAACACGTAAATATATTTGTAAACAAACAAACATGTTGTAAACAAATAAACATGTTTGTATGTAGCAAATATAGAGGCCTGTAGCAAATCCAGCAATCCCCATATTTGTTAACCTGATCATACCTAGATATATTAAGCTTGAGCTACGTAATATGATTAAAACATGCATTGTGATTAGATTAACTACAATTATATCTATACATGTGATCCTTTAAATACGTACATTCAACTTAAACTACACTGTACACATGTGTGGAGATAGCTTAACTATGTTATATTTATGTAGTAAACACCTACTCCGTAACAAGTCCTGGAATTATATTTATCCAGGTTCAACCAGTCCACTATCAAAGTCACCAGGACATGATCCACACGGTTACAATCCCGATAATTATCAACGCTTCTATCACTAGGCTCAATCTCTGTAGCTATTAAACCAAGCTTTTTATCCAGGCTCTAAATGCCTCACAGGGACACAATTAAGCTTAGCTATCCAACAAGCTATTAATCCAGTGCTCTAAATGCAACACAGGGACACAAGCCTAACTATCAAACAAGCTATTGTAAACGCAAATTCGAAAATATAAGGAAGACGATTCTTGGTGAAGAGGGGTAGTGGCGTCAGTCAGATTGATACAGTTCAGATGTTAACAGCCTGTCTCAGGGGGGAACCTGGCTCCTTCATGATGGTGATACATGTACACAGCTAGGAACAGTCGATGCTTACATCCAATTGAGAAGACACATAATCCCTCAACCCTAAAATGATAAAATTGAGAACTCTTCCCCTGATCTAAAGCCTGGGGTGGGTGGAAACCTGATATTAAAGTTCCTGTTGATCTGCAACACCAACATGAAGGTCTTAGTAACATTTTGCCTAGCACACTTTCGCCTATTACATGTTCGCCTACTAACTTTTTGCCTAGATAACATTTCACCTAGATAACATTTTGTCTGAACACAGTTTGCCTAGACAACATTTCGCCTAAATAACATTAGAAGGTAATTTTCGCCTAGGTAAATTCACTAATTTTTTTCAAAAATTTATAAAGTTCCTCTTTTTTCTCAAGAAATTCAATTAAAAGCAAAAAAAATGTATTATAATAATGTTTACAAATTTGTTCTTAAAGGGCACTAGCTTGCTGGAGATCATGGGCCAGCATTTTCAGATAATCAGTTTTAGGCATTGTAGCAAAAGCTTCCACCACCAGTTTAACCCTCTGTTTTGCATCCTTGGCTCTCTGCTTTCTGCCTGTATTATCAGCCATATCCTGGCCAACTGAATTAGAAAAAAATGCTCGTCTTGCATCAGCATCTTGTTTGACAAACTGGTCCTGAATGTGCCAAACATTTGGACTGTACCCAGACAAAAAATTCCAGGTACAATTAAAGGATTCCAGCATATTGTTTGTTTCTATTCCACCCTCTAAAACTGTACCGTACTGGTTCCAAAGACAGGGCGGGAACAATGCTCTCCTCCCACCCCGTTTTTCAATCCAAGTATGTGAATAGTAGTACTCAAAACGATAATTGTGAAATTTTTACAGTGAAAATTGCGTATTTTTTGTTCCAAAAGCTGGTTAAATATAATTTGAAGAATGTTAATCTAGGCGAAAATTACTCTCTAATGTTATCTAGGCAAAATGTTATGTAGGCAAAATGTTATCTAGGCGAAATGTTGTCTAGGCAAACTGTGTCTAGGCAAAATGTTGTCTAGGCAAACTTGAACTAGGCGAACATGTACTAGGCGAAAGTTTACTAGGCGAACTTGTACTAGGCAAAATGTTACTGAGCCACATGAAGCTTTACAACACCCTCCATGATGTGATTACTGATATTTGTCAATAGTTTCCTTTTTTTAATTTCTAACCAACCAATTTCCAACCCTGACTATAGCAAATATTTCAAAACTTTCGTTTTTAAATACATTTTAAGAAATATCCTTATTGATCTCTTTTATTTTGCTAAGATGACTTTGAAGTTAACATTTTGAAATATGGAAATCTGGGGAATCGTATCTTGGTTGGTTGGATTTTGAAGTTTCGAATTTGTTTTACTCTTTGTTAAATTAAAATCCAATTTTAATTTAACCCCTGGTAGGAGGTAATGTTAACAGAAATTCGAAATATTAGGAAGACGATTCTTGGTGAAGCGCTTGTGTATTACAGATGACCGTGTAAGACTCCCGATACAAAGATCCGATACAAAGCCTGGGGTGGGTGGAAACCTGATGTTCAAGTTCCTGTTGATCTGCACCACCAACAAGAAGCTCTTCAACACTCCCATGATGTGATTACTGATATTCGCCAATAGTTTCCTTTGTTAATTTCTAACCAACAAATTTCCAACCCTGACTAGGGCAAATATTTCAAAACTTTCGTTTTTAAATAAATGTTAAGAAATATCCTTATTGATCTCTTTTATTTTACTAAGATGACTTTGAAGTCAACACCTATATATTGATCCCTAATGATGAGGATGTACCCTCTATTTTTGCTACAAATGGGAGATTGTTTTTGAAAAATAGGGCTATCTCTCCCATATGTTCTACACTTAAGCCAACTCACGGTTGTTTTGTTTCGTTTCCATTCTTCATCTGTTGTAAATACTGAGTATACAAACTCCCTTACTATACAGGAAAGGTATAGTAAGGGACCTGTAGCATAAGTTATCTTAAGTTCTCCTACTTCATTGTCTGCCTGATACTCTTCGTTTTCTTCCTTCAATGGTTTTCTTCCTTCAATGGTTCATCTAAATGATCTGATCTTGACAATGCATCTGCTTTTAGGCTCTCGATCCCCTTCTTGGTACTACAATGATTTTCAGTACACTGACATGGTTATGGTTAAAAATAGATTTTTTCTTTGAATAAATTTTATTATAGTACTAAAAAATGTCTTTTTTGGCCTTATTCAGTCAAATTTCAATATTTTTCTATTATGTAAATTGATTTGAATTTAGAAATTCAATTCGGTTCCAAAGATACCCAATTCAATAAGTATTTCAAAATTTTCATTTTCACTTATACCAGTGACTTTTTAAATATTAACCCCCATTTGAACCCATATTTTTGATTTTTGTGAAAAACATATTTTTTAACATGTCTTAATATTCCTAGTAGAATACATCTTTTCTTCTGTAAAATTGTTTCAGAGAAATTTCACACCCTTATTACTTATGTCAAATACTATTTTAAGTGTAACGTATGGAAAGTGTAACTTATTTATTTCAAATATAATTATTAGAAATGTATTTATGGCAATAGTATTTTTGCAAGTGTAACTTAACCATTTGAATGTTAATCATATTGTAAAATAAATACGTGATAACAATTGTCAAAAATTAAATACAGATAAAAAGAAAATCAAGCTTTGTCCGGAAACTGAGATAATATATCTTGGGTTTCATCCAACCATAAACAGATATCCTCATATCATCATTATTTATCTATCTATCTTTTTATCTATCTATTTATCTATCCATCTATATATTTATCTATATTATAATCTATCTTTCTATCTATCTATCTATTTATATATCATATATGTATCTTTCTATCTATCTATCTATCTATTAATATATCTTTCTATCTATCTATCTATCTATCTATATTTGATATATGTATCTTTCTATGTTTAATTTTACGTCTATCTCTATTCTCTATCTTTCTTACCTGACATCTATCTATATTTGTAGTTAATTCCCTACTCCATAAGGGTTCCTCAAACCTGTATCTATCCAGGTACAACTCAGTTTCACTTTGCTGCCAATGTCTAAACTCGGACACTAGCTTGTAATCGATCAATGCCAAACAAATGGGCATGATCTTAGCTTGTATGTTTCAAAGAGAACTTGCCATCTATCCATGTCAACACTGACACTAGCTAGTAATCAATCAATGCAAAACCAATTGGTACAATCTCATGAGCTATGGATCTCAACCGAACACTAGTTCGAATCAATGCCAAACCAATGGGCATGATCTCAGTTCAAATGTTTCAATTAGAACTTGTCAGCTATCAATCAATGCCAAACCAATGGGAACAACCTCATGAGCTTTCGGTGTCAACTGGACACTAGCTCAAATCAATGGGCATAATCTCAGCTTGTATGTTTCGATGCGAGCCAAATTACTTTCTTACAGTAATCAAAGCAGATTCTCTATATCAACTAACTATATTTGGATTCTAAAGATTAAGTATTAAAAGACGTAATTACAAGTTATGTGTTGTTATATATAGCGTAGTTAAGCTAATCACACTGTGGATTTGACGAGGTTATATATATACATACATAGGTTGGGTTAATTGCAATACATGATTTGCTTATTTACTAATGAGTGCATTTAGATCTGTGGACAATGTACAACATAATTTATCTAGATTACTATGGGCCTCTGTATTTATTACATATTTATATTCTTAATCGTTTCTATCATTTATTCATACTTTTTCATTCATCTTTTTTTTCTGATCATCTCATTATAAATCAATTATATAATAACCAATCTTAGTAATATGTGTGTGTTTTAACAGTGTTTTGAGCATCGATTAATTAAAATAACAGATTGGACCATAGATGTAGTCTTTTCAAGATTTATCAGTATTTAACCCTATCCCTGCTGGGGTACTTGAAAACCAGCATATTCTGGGGGGGGGGTCAAATTGACCCCCCCTCTAAATCCCATGTTTGATGTCCAAATATGACAAATGATACATCATTAGAAAGCTCTTGTGCTCTACTTTTAGAATCTGCAAAAAAAATTGCAAATTTGCAAAAATTGAATTTTTTATTGCAAAATCCAGTTATATAGTAAAAATGTTTGCAAAAAAAAATTTGTCCAAAAAATGAAAAATTATACATTTTTGAAAAGCCCTTGACCATGCCATTTCAAATATGCAAAAATTTTTGCAAAATTTTAAATAACCTGATTTTTAATCAAGAAAAACTAAAAATGTGCAAATTTCCTTTGACAGGTTGTTTGCAAAAATTTTGCAATTTTTTTTTCGCAAAACTTGTGCAATCTGTTTCCTTTTCAAAAAGCTAAATTTTATCAAAATCTGACAAGTGAAAGTGGGTCAAAACAAAGATTTAGGTTGTTACCGGAAAAAGCAGTCATTCAGGCAGTTTGACTGAGGACTCAGGCAGTTAGTATTAAAGCCCGGTTTTAGGCCTAAAGGGAGGGCTTTGGGTATGTAGGAAAAGTCAGAAAATTTCAACAGCCTCAGACCAATACTTTTTGAGTTATGTAAAAAAACTACAGGGGGGGGTCAAATTAACCCCCCCCCCCCAGCAGGAATAGGGTTAATTACAATAACCCTGAGGCAGAGGCGTAAAAGGAGTTACGCGTAACCATCGTTGAACACACTCTCTCTATAGAATTTCAAGACAGAGAGAGAGCCTGCTCCACGCCGACTACGCGTAACCTCTTTTGGGATTTCTGTCTCAGGGTTATTATGAACGAAATTCTTATAAATCTTGATAAAACGACATCTAGTGTCCTATCTGCTATTTTCATTAATCTATGGTTTTGAGTATCATAATCTGATAACTTTTCAGTTCCCATAATTTTGCTTGAAATCCAAACTACAAAATCTACGAGGTCACAAAGTTGCAATTGTAATGTCGCATACATGTTTGACCATCTCCTTCTGTCTTTAGTTTGCAGTACGTTTGACAAATAAACTAAAAATGAAATCCAATAAAATCCCAAACTAGAGGAGCCAAAAGACTAATGTTCTGTCTAATGTTAAGTGTATGAGAACAAAAATGCACTTTTCCATAGTGCCTTTTCACGTCAGGGTAACCTTTGATATTACCCATAGTCAAGAACTGTCCTGTAACTAATATATTACCCTTAAACAAGAACACTTCTTTAACTAATATATTACTCATAAACAAATATGGTTCTTTAACTAATATATTACTCATAAACAAATATGGTTCTTTAACTAATATATTACCCTTAAACAAGAATAGAACTTTAACTAATATATTACTCATAAACAAATATGGTTCTTTAACTAATATATTACCCCTAAACAAGATTAGTACTTTAACTAATATATTACCCATAAACAAGATTAGTACTTTATCTAATATATTACCCATAAACAAGAACAGTTCTTTAACTAATATATTACCCAGAAACAAGAACAGTTCTTTAACTAATATATTACCCATAAACAAGAACAGTTCTTTAACTAATATATTACCCATACACAAGAACAGTTCTTTAACTAATATATTACCTATACACAATAACAGTACTTTAATTAATATTTTACCTATACACAAGAACAGTACTTAATATATTACCTATACACAAGAACAGACCTTTAATCAATATATTACCTATACACAATGACTAGTACTTTAATTAATATTTTACCTATACACAAGAACAGTACTTAATATATTACCTATACACAAGAACAGTTTTTTAATCAATATATTACCCATAAACAATAACAGTTCTTTAGCAAATATATTTTAATATTGTTTAGCCCCCCGACCCTGTTCAGTTTGTTACTAATCTCTTTCTGCCTGGAGGATTTGAACTTTCAAGGTAAACTTTGCCAATTTTACTCTTTAACCCTTTCCCGGGGAGGTGGAGGGGGGGGGGGGTTCCCTTGGATTTTTAATAAATTAACAATAGCAAGCACTAAAAACCTATAGTCCTCCCATTAGTCCTAAAACTGGGCTTATACCTTAGTACTTAGACACACTGCCTGAATGACCTCTTTTTCTTGTAACAAACTAAATCTTTGTTTTGACCCACTTTCAGTTGTCAAATTTTGATTATTTTTGTGCTTTTTGGAAAGCCTATGAAATGATTGGAAACGGATTGCACAAGTTTTGCATAGAAATTTTGACAAATTATTTTCAAACAACCTGTTAAAAAGAAATTTGCACATTTTAAGTTTTAAGTTTTATGTTCTTTTAAAAAGTATATGTTTTATTATTTTTGGACATTTTTGTTTGCTAATTTTTAACTACTTAACTGGATTTTACAAAAAAAATCCATTTGCAAATTTGCAAATGTTTTTGTAGATTCTAAAAGTAAAGCATAAGAGCTTTCCAATGATGTATAATTTGTTATATTTAGACATTAAACATGGAATTTAGAGGGGGAGGGGGTCACCCCCAGCAAAATACTTTATAAAGGGAATATCAAGTGGGGGGGGGGGGGGATCCACCCCAAACATACATTTGGCAAATATATTTAGAATTTGAAGAGGGAACAATTTGTTTGAATAAGTTTGAATATATTTACTAGAAATATTGAATATATATTCACAAGTCAAATATTTAAAAGACAGAAATGTTTATTTTTTTCAAATATTTCAATGAGAAATTTGACACGAAAAAAAGACTAATTTTCCCTCTGAAACATAATTGTAAATCAGACAATGGTGTAAAGTCTAAAATTTTTAAGATCTGAATAAAATTATGAAAATTTAGAATATTGTTTGCTCAGCAAAGGAATTGAGTCTTTGCCACAAACTCTGATTTTCTAATCCCTATATCCTCTGAACCCAATGTCGTATACGTTTGATATTTCAAACTATGAATTCTGTTAAATTAAACAATATAAGTTTGAAATATTAAAGATTTATACCATCAAGTTGTTTAGATATAAGTACTTTAGATAACTTGAGTTTGTGGCAAAATTTCAATTACTTTTCAACCAAATTGACCCTCTGCGCTCTTTCTAAAATTCTGTAAATTGAGTTTCTTTCATCTTTGATTAAATCTGGATACAATCTCTAAACTCAGAAAATATAAACAAACTTATTTTAGGATTTTGTCATGGAAAAAAACCAAGAGTTTTATTTTCATTAAAGCTGTGCTGTGTACATTAGCACTTTTAAAATCTTTTTTATATGTGATTACACATAAGTTTATTTTATGGAAGGACTGTATGCGATATGTTACAATTAATCTCGTTCCATTTAAAAAAAAAATTGGGGCATGTTTAATTTACAAGTGTACTCTATAAACCTCCATCTGAGTTACAATAAGAATATATCGGGATTCCACCCCCCGCCCCACCCCCACCCTGAAATTTTATATATATATGGGATATATGGGATATATGGGATATATGAGATATATGGGATATATGGGATATATGGGAAATGTCATTGTCCAACTTTTCAAGATCAGCTCATAAAAATAAGACATCTATCTTTAGATGTTAGGTATGTTCCCAACTTCCCAAATGTGCAATTTCCCAAGCGACAACTTCCCAACCAGCACTCAGCCCCCTTCTAGCCGCAGGGCTCGACCCAATTGCAGAATTGCGGCGCCTCAAAGGGCCTAACCTAACCTTTGAGAAGTGGCCGATTGGGTTATAGGACAATTGGGATGAATTGCCACTTGAAGTCACCAAAATGTCTAACGCCTCGGGTGCTATAGGAGGGTTTTTAAGTGCTTTTCAAATGCGTGAACTTTAGATCTATAGCTCATATAATAACAAATGTTATTAAGAGGAATGATTGCTTGTTTTCAAGTTAAAATTTGTTTACTTACATAAATGCAATTGTAAAACAAAAAGAAAAAAGAAAAATCAAAAATAAATCTATAAATCTATAAATTTACAAATGCATTTCTAATACAAAAATTTAATTTGTTCCTAGAGAAAATTATATCAAATTTATAATGTTCTTTGCACATTTCTTAGGAATGCATTTGCAAAATATTAAAAGCGTTTTGAGAAATAATTCTAAGAATGAGCAGAATATAGAAGTGATTTTATGAAAAAAATGAGTGTTTTTATTAAAGGGAATGTTGACTTAGAAGAAAAGGAATATTATATCGAAAAACCTATTTTCTTTTTCTTTTTAACAATTTTCACTTTGACTGTTTAAAGGAATTGAGTTTTGCCACAAACTCTGAACTTCTAATCTTGCAACACAATTTAATAGACCCAAAATATTAAAAACTATGAATTATGTTTGTATTAAATGATTTATAATCACAGGTTTACACAATTATGTTGCAGTTCCTTTATAAATAAAGTAGATATCTATCAATAGAACAATTCAATGATTAATTAATGCTTTGCATCATTTTATTGATTATTACTATTCTTTGCTAAACGATAATCTTACATTAATTAATAGATCAATATTAGTGATTTTCAAAAGATTTTTTTTGCCTGGTTGATTAATTGATGTTAAAACCATTAATTGATTGAGAAATTGAGAAATTGAGAAGTTTACTGATGATCTAGTGATGATCTTTTTATTTTTTGCTAGTTTAGTTATTGACTTGTAAAATTGAGTTATGTATTTAGTGATTAGTTTACTGCTTATTTATTGATGATTTTTTAAATTGATTGTTTGTTAAAGTATTGAATATATGCTTGGTTGTTTGAATTTTTCGGTGGTTGAAAGATTGATAGATTGGTGATTAACGAATTTTTTAGTTGTTTAATTAATTGATTAATTGACAGTTAATGATTGTTTGATCTTTGATTGTTTGAATTTTTGATTAATTGATTGATTGATTGATTGATTGATGAATAGATTCTTTGAATAATTGATTGACTGATTGATGAATTCATTGCTTGATCTTTGAATGCTTGATTGATTGATTTTTTGTCAATTTAATTATTTGATTAATTGATTTTTAATGATTGTTTGATCTTTGACTGTTTGAGTTTTTAATTAATTAATTGATTGATTGATCATTATATTCTTTGAATAATTGAATATTGCTTGATTAATTCATTGCTTGATCTTTGAATGCTTGATTGATTGATTGTGTGTCTATTTAATTAATTGATTATTCATAGTTGTATCTTTGATTGTTTGAGTTTTTGATTGATTGATTTTTTGATTATTTGTAAGAATGCTAGATTGTTTCATTGATTGATTTGTTGATTGCCTAATTCATTGTTTGATTTTTAAATGATTGATTGATTGATTGATTAAGGTATATTGATGCCAGCTGTGACGTTAAGACTGCAACTGGACATTACAGTTGTCTCAGGTTAGCATGATATTTAGTTTAAAGAGAGCTCTCATCCATAACATCAGAGACCGAATTTAAAGAATTTAAGCCGCGGTTTAAATTTTAACTGCGGCTCAAATTTGGTTGGTTTCGCTTAAATTTGTATTAAATTTTTCAAGATTTTAGCCGACGCTCAATAGAAACAAGTTTTTTAGGGATATTAGATGCGGCTTAAATTCATTAAATTCGGACACAGGTTATGGTTTATTTTAAGAAATGAGAATGCATTTTTTTGATTATGTTTTGTATATATATAAAAGTAGTGTCAGTATTTTAACAGCTTTTAAGGGAGTGACTTGCTGGGCACTGTAGCGGAGCTTTTCGAGTTTTTCTCTACAATACTGCACTTTCAGCTCAACTACTACTCAGCTCAACTACTATGTCTAGCATGTCACTCCCTTCCATTAATTAAAAAGTTTTTACTCGTTGAAAATGAACATTTTTGTTTCAGTGTTGTTATGCAGTTTAAACGTCAGGTACATTTTATATAAATTGGTAGATTATATCAATAATAATAATTAAGACGAAGTTCGATTTAATTTTAAATTCATATTAAACTGTTAAATGCATTATGCATCATGCGCATTTCCATGCTTTTAAGGAAAACTTTTGAAATTCAATGAAAAAAAAACTTTTTTCCATGCTTTACAGGTTAAGACTTGAGAAATTTAAAGAAATAACAACTTTCTTAGTCATAAAATCGACGCTTTCTTCCATTTTTATCAGATTAAGGGTTCAAGGGAACTGTTGTAAATCGTGTATTCCAAGAAACCTAATTAAACAAACTGGGCTGGGAACTTTTGAATGGTGGATATCGGAGTTAATGCTTGATCCACTCTTATTCTTAATCTCCAGATTAAATAATGCTTGTTCTCTTTTTGTTATTGATCTCCAGAAAAATTACCCGATCGGGATTAAGGATATCCCATTCAGCTCTGATTACTCACCGAAAACTTGAATTTTCTAAACTTTGTATATTTATGTATTTTCAGTTCCCTTCTTATAGTGTATAACGGTGCACGGGCAGCGGGCACCAAGTATAGAAAGAATTAACATTTTAATATCTATATATATTTTCAGTTCCCTTCTTCTAGTGTATAACGGTGCACGGGCACCAAGTATAGAAAGAATTAACATTTTAATATCTTTATATATTTTCAGTTCCCTTCTTCTAGTGTATAACGGTGCACGGGCACCAAGTATAGAAAGAATTAACATTTTAATATCTATATATATTTTCAGTTCCCTTCTTCTAGTGTATAACGGTGCACGGGCACCAAGTATAGAAAGAATTAACATTAACATATCTTTATATATTTTCAGTTCCCTTCTTCTAGTGTATAACGGTGCACGGGCACCAAGTATAGAAAGAATTAACATTAACATATCTTTATATATTTTCAGTTCCCTTCTTCTAGTGTATAACGGTGCACGGGCACCAAGTATAGAAAGAATTAACATTAACATATCTTTATATATTTTCAGTTCCCTTCTTCTAGTGTATAACGGTGCACGGGCACCAAGTATAGAAAGAATTAACATTAACATATCTATATATATTTTCAGTTCCCTTCTTCTAGTGTATAACGGTGCACGGGCACCAAGTATAGAAAGAATTAACATTAACATATCTATATATATTTTCAGCTGTCCTACTATGTGGTGACAATCTACGTACCTACATTTATGATAGGTATTAAATCATTTTTCAAACTGAATTTGATTTTTTGTCAAACAATAATATTTCAGACAATTTTAATTAAAGATCACGAAAATTTCCATCGCTTGTAAAGAATTTTTAAGAACAGATGTTATTTTTACCATTCTAGAATGATTGAATTATAAACATTTTATATTATCTTTTAAAACATAACTGATTCAAAGATTATATTAATGAATAAAAAATTTCTGAATAATATTTACATGAATTTAAAACGATTGAATAACTCTCAGTATGTGTGTCCTGGATGTCTTTCTGGCTTGACCATAAATCTGCCCCGGCTAGGTAATTCTTTATAATCTTAAATACTACAGGGTGGTTTTTACAATATCATCCTAAATAACACAGGGGACTGTCAGGGGGGCTTTAAAAATATCCTCTCAATCTCAAGGTGGCTCCGACAATATATTCTTAAACTATACAGGGTGTCACTAACAAAAGATATAGTCTTAAATGTTACAGGGTGTCTCTAACAATATTGTTTCAATTAATACATGGTGGCTCTTACAATACCATATTTAAATAATACAGGGTGGCTCTGAAAATATTATTTTAAATGTTACAGGGTGGTTCTAACAATATTATTGTAAATGTTACAGGGTGGCTCTGACAATAACAACCCTGCTGGCGATGTCAACAACAACCTCTAGCATTAACAGCTCCCTTCCCCCTGTAGCATACACAAAGGTAATAATTATTATCATTTTTAAGTCATCATACTGTGCTGAGAGGATTTTAATCTTTTTTTTATAAAAATGTTTGTAAAGATTGTAATTAATATTGCTGATTCTAATAATGAACCAGGCAAAAAATGATAATTAAACTAGTTACAAATTACAGCATTCTTAGACTTGTAGTTAAATCCCCAATAATTATAATTCCATAATTATTAAAATAAATGATCTCCAAACTTAAGAACCCCTAGCGATATTGTAGTTAAAAAAAAAACATCACGACAATTTTAATTTCCCGAAAATTCAAATAAATTGGCTACAAAATTAAAAATTCTCAAGAACGTTGTAGTTAAAAAGAAGAAGACCTGCCTTCCACTGGATTAAGGGTAACATCTGTAGATCTGCTGATCAGATTATTTATCGAAAAAAAATTTTTTGCCACAACGAAACTTAGGATAGCAATATCTTTATTTTTTAACCGGCAAAGGAATTGAGTTATTTTGCCACAAACTCATTTTTCTTATCCGTATATCTTTACAATGTCGTAGACCTTAGATATTTCAAACTATGAAGTCTGTTAGATTAAAAAATCTAGGTTTAAAATTTAAAGATTTGAACAATCCGGCTGCAAAGATATACACACAAGAAAATTTGAGTTTGTGTCAAAAACTCAGTTCCTTAAATAACCTGGAGTCTGGACTGTTTCTATATCTTTCTGCAAACAATACAAAATAGATTTTACTAAAAACGCACAGTTAACCGAGTAATAATGGAAATTAAAGAATGATCAATTTTAAAGAAACCTAAGAAGAAAAATACACATGTTATGCAACCTCACCCCCCCCCAGCATATCCTGGTTTTCAAGTACCCCAACAGAGATAGGGTTAAGATTAAATAGACAACTACCCTGCTGTATTTCGTCGGGCCTGACCGTAAGATCCTCTACTCTCGCTACTCGTCATAATGAATCAAAGACAGGATAGCATCAGGTTTTATTGACGGCACAGATCTTCAATCTAACAATAAAACTTTTTTTACAGAAAAGCTGTGAGAATACAATTCAACAATATATCATCCATCATACAACTCATAAATAATCATAATCTCAGACGTTAAAAACACAAAGAATACATTTAAATATCTTAAAGACATATTTACCACATTAGTCTTCCGAATTTAGCACGATAATCAGCAAATATATAACACGAATAATAACTTTACACTAATACTGGGAAACAAACTGAAAGAACAACACGCGAGTTTCTCGCGCATGTGTAGACAGAAGAATTTGTCGGCAAAAACAGGTTTTATCTCCAACATCTTCATCTTGAAAACAGGGGTAAACAGAGGCAGTATAGACTTCATAACGAAGCATGAGCTTGCGTAACAACACATTAATATTGCTTAAAATGCCGTCTTCCTATTCCACAGTTTTATGTGTCTAGTCTATTTAATAAATTTACATGCTCAAAGTTTTTTTAGAGTAAATTGCACAATCTCATCTGTATGTAAAAACTAAAATCATAAATACAACTTGCATCTTTTGGTACAAACTAAATTTTACAAAGAACAATGAATATTTTGTAAAAATATTGTCTCCTTTTTCTTTGAAGATAAAACTCTCTAATGTCTGTTTAAATGTCTCACAATTTTGATAAACATGAATTTAATTCTGAAATGCAAAACACAGGCAGAAGAGAGGCAAAACATGAAGCATATTTTGGAGGGTCCTGGGATGCATTAGAATATTTTTTTATAATATTTAAAGAATCATTTTAGAACTTTTTTCCAAAAAAATCAATGTTTTTTTCTAGGAACTTTTGGCAACATTTCAAGCTACCCTGTATACAGTAATGTTTATTCACAACAGTACCAATAAAAGCGATCAAGTGTGAATTATATATCACTCAAGCACCTCTGCCCCTTTAGTAAAAGTAAATTCAACCTATATGAAGCTTAAAGTCTGACCGCCTCAACCTTATTGCACCGGCTAGTCCTGTCCATAGAGCTAGGCACAGTACAAACTGGGACCAGAAAGGTTGACCTTAGAACTTAGAAAACTGATTAGTTTCAATTGCGGCTTCTCTATGAATTGCGCATTATTCTGCAGGAAACCTAATTTAAGATTTTTATGAGATTTGAAAAGTTTTACAACTAGAAAAACAGCAGTTTCCTACCCGTTATTGATCGAATAATGGATTCAAGGGTTTTATTGTTAATCGGGCATTGCCATCTTCACATGGAGGGTCACTTGAAATTTAACTTACTTTCTCTTAAACATTTTAAGTTTTTTCCCTACTTTTAAGAAGCTACTCAACAGAAATTGTCGGAAAAAGATTATTTTGGAGAATATTAATATTTCACGAGTCACGGAAGTTCGTAGTAAGATTTTGACTCCTCACTCCTGTTTTTGCGTCCATTTTGAAAAGACTTTTTAAATATGAAATCTTAGATCTGTACCAAAGAAAAATTTAATTTAACCATGTCACGATTGATGGGGGGGGGGGTTGTTTTCCACCCCTTTTTTTTTTTTTTTAATAACTTAAAAAGGGCTGACATTATAACTTTACATTATGGTTCTGTAAATGAGCATCTTCTCTTCGTACAAAATAAAACAATGAAAAAATTACGAGGGTTTTATCATATTTTTTCAAATTTTAGGAAATTGATTTTTTTGGAGACAAATTTTTGAGAATCTGAGCAGCCCGAAACCTTCCCTGGGGTCATGCGAGTTCTCCAAAAAAAAATTTGGACTCAATTGATATTATTTTAACGTTTATTGGATACAAACAAACAGACAAGCAACGTATATATATATAGTTGTAAAACCTTCTCGATACAATTTCTTTGTAAAGTTTATAAAACATTTCCACTTGATGGATTATTTTGTTCCGAACTGAAACATATCAATAAGAAAAGCTGGAAGAGATTATTGCCTTTAATATTAAAGGGACTGAGTCGTAATTTGAAATTATTTTCATTTGTATGTAAAGTGGCATGTCTGTTGCACAAGGGTATACTTAATAGTTTTGTCTGGTAAGAAAGTTATCTCTTAAAAAAATGCGGTTTCTTTACAAAGTTTAAATGGAATCTAAATCCTAAGTAATATGACCCAAACGTAGTTTAAATTGCACCCGGCGACCGACGGGTTTCCTGACACCCCCGTACGTAAAGCGATCCAGCTGGCAAGCACAGTATTACTTTGGACTTGTAAGAATGAATTTTGGATAGAGATGGAAGATTTTAAGAATGGAGTTCAGGCAGAGTTGGGAGCTGTAAGAAAAGAGTTGAGATATGAGAGTTAGAAGCTAAAAGAATTGATTGCAGATGGAGTTAAGAGATAAAAGAATGGATCCATGGACCATTTATTCTAAACATATTTATACAGTATTAATTTGAATTTTAATCCCTAATTATAACGTTCAAACTAATTTGAACTTCTTTCTAAGTTTTTAATCATATTTTGAAAACTTTAGCAATTAATCTATTTTAGTCACCCGACATTACATGGATATATAGCACAACATAAATTATCAACTGGACCAGCTACTCCTAGATACTCCAAGCTATCACTAGCTACTCCAAGCTACTCCTAGCCACTCCTGGCTACTTCTAACTACTCTTAGCTACTCCTAGCTACTCTCAGCTACTCCTAGCTACTCAAAGCTATCACTAGCTACTCCAAGCTACTCCTAGCTACTTCTAGCTTCTCCTAGCTACTCCTGTCTACTCCTAGCTACTCCAAGCTATCACTAGCTACTCCAAACTACTCCTTATAGCTACTTCTAGCTTTTCTTAGCTACTCCTAGCTATTTTTAGCTTCAGCTACTCCTAGATAATCCCAGCTACTCTTAGCCACTCTTAGCTACTCCTGCAACTCAAAGCTAGTTGATCCAGCCTATTCTTTACTATTCCTGGCTACTCCTAGCCAATCTTATCTACTCCTAGCTAACCCTACCTACTCCTAGCTACTTCATATCTATTCCTAGCTACTCTTAGCTACTCCTGGCTACTCTTAGCTCCTCCTAGTTACTGTATAGCTACTGCTAGCTACTCCTAGCTACTTCTAAAAATGCTTAATTTGCTTAAGTTTGTTATTTTTCAGGCGATAGATGTTTGGTCGAATATTTGTGTTTCTTTTGTATTCTTGGCTCTTCTAGAGTATGCTTTAGTCAACTATGCTGCTAGAGCAGATGCAAGGTAAGAAAACTTTGAAGGGAGTGTGCGCAAATTTTAAAAAGTAATCTTTTGGAAATTTTTTTTTGTCTTTAAGGGTGCACAGATGGCAATTATTACTAGGGTACCCTTAAAAGTTTTCAGCATTCATTAGATTGGCATGTTTTTGTTTGTTTAAACTATCAAATTTTTATTTATGGTTTCTCTGCAAATATGACTTGCGCATTTCTTGCTATTAAAAAAGGATTGAGGTTATTTTGGTTGAGGTTAAGGTTTCAAGTGTACCATTGCCATTTTGGCTTAGAGTCCCTTTATTTTTATTTCAATATTTTGAAAATAATTGAATTTTATATTTCTCTAGAGCTAAAGAGCTGCATAGATTCTAACTTTATATATTCTAGAGCTCTAGAGCTGCATAGATCCTAACTTTATATATTCTAGAGCTCTGGAGCTGCATAGATCCTAACTTTATATATTCTAGAACTCTGGAGCTGCGTAGATCCCAACTTTATATATTCTAGAGCTCTGGACCTGCGTAGATCCTAACTTTATATATTCTAGAGCTCTGGAGCTGCGTAGATCCTAACTTTATATATTCTAGAGCTCAGAAGCTCCGTAGACACTAACTTTACATATTCTAGAACTCTGGAGCTACGTAGATCCCAACTTTATATATTCTAGAACTCTGGAGCTGCTTAGATCCCAACTTTATATATTCTAGAACTCTGGAGCTGCGTAGATTCCAACTTTATATATTCTAGAACTCTGGAGCTGCATAGATCTTAACTTTATATATTCTAGAGCTCTGGAGCTGCGTAGATCCCAACTTTATATATTCTAGAACTCTGGAGCTACGTAGATCCCAACTTTATATATTCTAGAACTCTGGAGCTGCGTAGATCCCAACTTTATATATTCTAGAGCTCTGGAGCTGCATTTATCCTAACTTTATATATTCTAGAGTTCAGGAGCTGCGTAGACCCTAACTTTATATATTTTAGAGATCTGGAGCTGCGTAAATCCTAACTTTATATATTCTAGAGCTCTAGAGCTGTGTAGATCCTAACTTTATATATTCTAGAGTTCTGGAGGTGCTTAGACACTAATTTTTTATATCCTATAGCTCTGGTGCTGCGTTGATCCTAACTTTATATATTTTAGAACTCTGGAGTTGGGTAGATTTTAACTTTATATATTCTAAAGCCACATAGATACAAGCTTTATATATTCTAGAGCTCTGGAGCTGAGTAGATCCTAACTTTATATATTCTAGAGCTCTGGAGCTGCATAAATCTTAACTTTATATTTTAAAGAGCACTGAAGCTGCGTAGATCCTATTTGTACATATTCTAGAGCTCTGGAGCTGCATAAAGCCTAACTTTTTATATTCTAGAGCTCTGGAGCTCCTTAGATCCTAAACTTTTATATTCTATAGATCTGGTTCTGCGTTGATCATAACTTTATATATTCTAGAACTCTGGAGCTGCATAGAACCTAAATTTATATATTCTAGAACTCTGGAGCTGCATAGATCTTAACTTTATATATTCTAGAGCTCTGGAGCTGCGCATATCATATCTCTATATATTCTAGAACTCTGGAGCTGCGTAGATCCCAACTTTATATATTCTAGAATTCTGGAACTGCGTAAATCCTAACTTTATATATTCTAGAACTCTGGAGCTGCGTAGATCCTAACTTTATATATTCTAGAACTCTGGAACTGTGTATATCATAAATTTATATATTCTAGAGCTCTGGAGCTGCGTAGATCCAAACTTTATATATTCTAGAACTCTGGACCTGCGTAGATCCAAACTTTATATATTAAAGGGTTATGGAGCTGCGTAGATTTTAACTTTATATATTCTAGAGCTCTGGAGCTGCGTAGATCCTACCTAAAGCAAGCAGAACAGCTAGAGAGAGAAGCTTCTTATGCTTATCAGTTCCATCCGCATCAGCAGTTCAACAACAACCCTCCGTTTGCAAATAATCTGCAGTACACTGCCAATCCTTCTTTTGCAAATAATTTGCAATATCCCAGTAGACCGGTTCACAATGAAACAAGATTTGACAAGTAAGATTAGTTGAACACTAATATGGATTTAGAGGCACGGCAAGCTTAACCATTTCTGCAACAGTTTATAATATTTTCTTCCGAGCCACCTACAAATGCCAGTATTCGCCATGTTTTGATTTTACAGAATATTAGAGTTATTTACATATTTTACAATCTTCGGTTAAATTTTAAAATTAGGGTTTCATAAAAATCAAAGTTAAAAGGTGTAGACTGGGAAAAATTATATGAAGAGACTGTGGCTCAGAGACACAGAAATAAGGAAAATGTGGCTCAGAGACACAGAAATATGGAGAATGTGGCTCAGAGACAAAGATATAAGGAGAATGGGGCTCAGAGAAAACATAAATGAGGAGAATGTGACTCAAAGACACAGACATAAGGAGAACGAGGCTCAGAGAAAACAGAAATAAGGAGAGTGTGGCTCAGAGACACAGAAAAAAGGAGAATGGGGCTCAGAGACACAAAAAAAGGAGAATGGGGCTCAGAGACACAAAAAAAAGGAGAATGGGGATCAGAGACACAAAAAAAAGGAGAATGGGGCTCAGAGACACGGAAATAAGGAGAATGGGGCTCAGGGAAAACAAAAATGAAGAGACTGTGGGTCAGATACACGGAAATAAGGAGAATGGGGTACAGGAAAAACATAAATGAGGAGAATGTGGTTCAGAGGCACGGAAACGATGTGGAATGCCTTTTCCAACACTCTCTGAGAAAGTCTCTTTATTTTTTTTCTAACATTTGAACACTCAAAGCTTTTTTAAACAGACACAATTTTTCTAATCTTTGAAATATATAACATCTATAACATTGGGTTGCTAAGACTTAGTTCCTTTTATTGAAACTCAATATTCGAGAAAAATTCTATGATTTGGATCTCAACTTTAAATTGAGGAGATTCTAGTAAATTTTACTAGCATCATAGGGCAATTTTGGCCATTTCTTATGTAATGCCATGCAACAGCTAAGGCATTTGGAGAATATAAATACACAAAAAATAGGAATGAATAAGATCAAAAGGTTATTGATTTCAGAATTTTTTCTTACATAGAGTAAAAGAAAGAGTACAACATCTCTGTTTTTCAAATTTTTAACTTTTTACAAACTAGTTTTTTTTTCTTTTGAATCAATTTCTCAACTTTCATGAGCAAAGCGTTAAAGTAATACCAACCTGGGATACAGAAGTCAAAATTCGATAATTTTGTGAATTTTTGTTTGCTGGGTCGTCAGAATACCAATTGGATGCTTTTAAAAACATAATATATATAAAGACATAATTATTTTGAGAAAAAAAAATCCAATTTATCTGGAACGTCTGTTAGTTTGCAAATTCAATCGGTTTGAAATCAGTATTTAAATTTCAATTTAAAAGATTTAAAAGCAAAACTGCTCAAATTGAACAGAAGATGTCGTCCCTCTCTAGCCGGATTCGATTAATTTTCTTTCAAGGTTCCAATTCTAAAATATTTCTAAAATAGTTTATTTCTGCCAACTCTTCAATTCTTTTTCCTCTTCCGAGAAACTCTAGTTAAAACTTTTATCTTGGTATGTTTTTATCTCTAGCCTTGAAACCCGGTTACCTTTCAGTGGTCTGCAATTATATCAGTACAATGAGGACGACTTGTTTTTAAGTTTTGATTTCTAATCAGCTTTTTAAAAAATATAATTTCATAAGTAAACAAAAAGAAGCTGTAAGTTGACATCTATCTTCTAATATATGTATAGCCTTGACACCTATCTTCTAATATATTTATGCCAATTGAAACCTATCTTCTAATATATTTATGGCTTGGAAATCTTTTTACTAGTAAATTTATGCCAATTGAAATTTATCTTCTAATATATTTATTTCCTTGAAACCTATCTACTGATATATTTTAGCCTTGAAACCTATTTATTATAGTAAATTTCACTCTTGAAACCTATCTTCTTATACATTTTAGCCTTGAAACCTATCTTCTTATATATGTTAGCCTTGAAACCTATCTTCTTATATATTTTAGCCTTGAAACCTATCTTCTTATATATTTTAGCATTGAAACCTATCTACTAATATATTTTAGCCTTGAAACCTATCTACTACTATATTTTAGCCTTGAAACCTATCTACTAATATATTTTAGCCTTGAAACCTATCTACTAATATATTTTAGCCTTGAAACCTATCTACTAATATATTTTAGCCTTGAAACCTATCTACTGATATATTTTAGCCTTATAATCTATCAGCTAATATATTTTAGCCTTGAAACCTATTTATTATAGTAAATTTCACTCTTAAAACCTATCTTCTTATATATTTTAGCCTTGAAACCTATCTTCTTATATATGTTAACCTTGAAACCTATCTACTAATATATTTTTGCCTTGAAACCTATCTACTAATATATTTTAGCCTTGAAACCTATCTACTAATATATTCCTAATCTTAAACCCGTTTGCCTTTATTGTATGTTTTCATATGTTTAGCCATGAAACCCGTTTACCGATTGAGAATGAAAGCGAAGATGAATTTGAATCTATGAAGCGAGGACCCTATTCCAGGTGAATTACTTATAACAAAAACGTTTTTGATGATTTTTGTTCATTTTAATGCAGGGTGTCCCAATAAGCATGGGAATTGAGAGACGACATGAAAGTCGTCTTCGATTTCTGATATTTAAGACATGGCAAGATTAGTATTAAAACGAGGCTGTACGTCTGACGATCATTACATAAAGTAGTCTAGACTTTTCTTGTGTCTTAAAAATTGACGAAGATATTAGATATTACGGAAATTTTGATTCATTATAGAAATTGAAATTAGTAAATATTTTGCATTTTCTTCCTCAATTTTGAAAAAACAAAAATGGTAGATCTCACTTAGAAAATCTCAAGACCAGGCGTATTCGACATTACATGTTTAAACTGGAATACTGCAATAATTGTATTCATGAAAAAATACCAAATGGATAGAAGACGAAATAGAGTCGTGATTAAATTCCCATGTTTTTGGGACACTCTGCATCATGCGGCATCGGTCCCGGATTACGGACCTAAAGGTACTGTAGTAATAATTTCAAGTGCCCTGCATCTAAAGAAGGGATGTATCAGATATACAACGGTACTCTTTTAGCTGTACGATATGTACTGAACTGTATGTACTGTACTGATCAATTATGTGGAGGAAGTCGTAATTTTTCAAGCTTGAAAAGTGTATATTTCGGATGTTGCCCTCCGACTGTTTGTACAGAAGAAAAGCGCAAGTCTTTTTTCGAGAAACCATAGAAAATATAAATGAACTTTTTAAGAGATACAAATGGAAATCTTTTTCCATGCTTAATCAGGCAAAGCTTTTATGGGTACTGTTGTGAATCATGCAAACCACCCCAGCTAGGAGAGTCATGCTAAATAACGACCACAGACCATTTAATCATAGCTCTCTGCAGGTTCTATTAGCTTTCAACAATGTCTGACCATTGCCCATTCCTCCCAAATACTTCTAAAAATAAAAATATTTTTTTATCCTTATTTTTGATAAAATAAAAAAATAAAAAAGCTTTTCATATTTTTAGATTTTAGTAACAATATATTTAAAGAATTACAAATAATATATTTGAATTACTCTGAAATGTATTGGCTATCTAAAAGACTAACAAGGTTTTTTTTTGTCACTTTTATCTACAAATATATCACATTAATAACACAGAGAAATCGAGAGTGTTGAAACATTGTTTCATATATCTAGTGTTTTATATTAATTTGCAACCGCGTGGGACTAATTAGCCATTGTAACCTAACAAATATATGAATGTCATAATGGGCGGATCAGGGGGGGGGGGGTAGCAATATTGGGTTTACACCATAAACCTTTTATATAAGTCAAATAAGACTCGGTCGCTTAAGTAATTTTTTTGAGATAAGTTAAAGTTCCAAAAGCCGTAGTACATTTGAATTTCCGAGCCGGGTCAATCTTTCCGGTCCCAGTTTGTACTATACCTAGCTCTAAGGACAGGACTAGCCGGTGCAACAAGGTTGACGCGGTCAGACTTTATGCTTCATAAAGGTTCAATTATATTGCGGGTTTACAGGGTCAATTAATTTTAATTGAAATCATTATAAATCGATGTAAGCTACAATAACGACGATTTCTTCCTCATTCCTATTCCTATTTCGATTAATGGTTAAAGATTTTCGTTCAGAAGCAGGATTTTTTTATTTTAGAATTTTGGAGACAGTTTCTTTAAGAATTTGTTTTTTTAGGAGAGTTGAGGGCGGAAATGAACAAGCTGGAGGACCTAGAGGACCCGGAGGACCGGGAGGACCCGGAGGACCAGGAGGACCCGGAGGACCGGGAGAGGCTGAAGGAGAAGAGGGAGGGGCCTCCAGGAGAAAAGTATTATTTGCTCAACTCCTAAACAATCCTGACAGAAGAAAGAAAGAATTAGGAAAATAACTTTTATACATTCTGATTTAATTAGATGACATTCGGACATACTGTGCACAGTGAAGTAGGGTAAATTTATATTTGAACCAGACCGACCGCTTGTACCGACCTTAGTGATGCGGTGCAAATACTGGCCCAACTCTATCCCAATGGCACGGCCAGATTTTTACTGTACTCGACCTACCCCACTAGCTTAGTTTGGTTTGTGTGTGTGTGTCTTATTTTAAATATTTATCTGGAAGACAAGATAAATAATGCATGTCGAAAACTCCATTGTTTGAAAGTAAATTTAGAATATTCTGACTTTAACTTTGATAAATTTGTTATGAATATATTTTATAAAGCCCAATCAATATCTTCTGATTTTATTTGTAAAGTAGAATACTGGTTAACTACTGGTTAACTACGGTTTAACTACTGGTTAACTACTGGGTAACTATTGGTTAACTACTGGTTAACTACTGGTTAACTACAAGTTAACTACTGGTTAAGTACTGGTTAACTACTAGTTTACTACTGGTTAACTACTGGTTAAGTACTAGTTAACTACTGGTTAAGTGCTGGTTAACTACTGGTTAACTACTGGTTAACTACTGGTTAACTACTGGTTAACTACAAGTTAACTACAAGTTAACTACTGGTTAAGTACTGGTTAACTACTTGTTAAGTACTGGTTAACTACTGGTCAACTATTGGTTAACTACTGGTTAACTACTGGTTAACTACTGGTTAACTACTGGTTAAGTACTGGTTAACTACTGGTTAAGTACTGGTTAACTACTAGTTAGCTACTGGTTAACTACTGGTTAAGCACTGGTTAACTACTGGTTAAGTACTGGTTAACTACTGGTTAACTACTGGTTAACTACTGAGTCTAAAACTAAAGAATGCGCGAATTTTAAGTTCGAGGTTAAAAGTTCTGTAAAATATTAAATAGCTACTTAAATATCAAACTTTCTCAATTTTAAATTTGAATTTCCCAGGAAAAATCTGAACCAATCAGAGAAAAGGATTTACGGAGAATTATTACGAAAGTAACGGTAATCAGCTGTTTTTTAAATTTTAAATTATTTACGTGACGGAAAACAAAACATATTTCCAGTTACAACCGTATTTTGGGTTTACGTGCAAACATTAATTAATCTAAATCGTGAAAAATGTATTAAATCAAGGTTTTTACTTTTAAATATATCGTAATTAGTTGAATGCAGCTTACCGGTAAATGATGATAGACAAATAGGGATTGCGGGATTTCAAGATTTTAACCCTGTGTTTAAATTTCAACACGTCGATTTCGGCGAATTAAATATTTAACCTCAGATTTAAATTAAGTCAGAAGTGCCATTTAACCATGAACTTAAAATTTAAGTCAAAACTTTTCGTTCTTTAGTTTTAGAATCTGGTTAACTACAAGTTAACTACTGGTTAACTACTGGTTAACTACTGGTTAAGTACTGGTTAATTACTGGTTAACTACTTGTTAACTACCTAACAAATTGGTAAGCTACAATGGGATGTAGAACAGAAAGACGACTGTTATACTCTAGTTATGATTCTAAAAAGTCTGATGAACATGTAATACAACAGTTCAGTGCATAGACCCATTTCTCTTAAAAACTTTTTTTTACAGCTACTTATAAAACTATCTACTTTATAACATCATCAAACACTCAGAAGATTGCTTAAAGTCGTCTTTCTACCACATTTTTACTCACAGTAAACTTTGGTTCATTTCAAGTACCGGGCCAACTTTTAATACATATCCAAACTATATAAGGCAAAACGGGACGGTATAGTACGTCGAATAAATCAGCCCCACCTATTGGGAGATTTTACTACACTGTACCGAACCTAAATCGGAATGAAGGGAGGGGGTGCTTCTCTGCCATAAACCGCGCGCGGTATCATTCAACCCACGTTTTTATTTATAGATTTACATCCGATCCCTCCAGTTGTTCTCCAAATATCAACATCTGAGCCCTGAATCCTGGATTGCACCTTACAGATTTATTTTTTCAAAAAATTTGATTCATGATCTGATTTCTTGTTAAATTGCACGAGAACCTAATATATAAAAAAATAAAATATCTTTTAAAATATATAAACAGTAGTCCAAAAAGAATTTTAAGACTTGTTGTTTAGCTTTGTATGTATTTTTGTTTGGGTACAGTTTGAAAAATCTTTTAAAGGCTTAAGATGCGAATTTGAATACTCTAATGAATATGAGTCACAGCAATTGTGCAGTGTACACAGACCCATTTTATCCAATAAGTGATTTCATAATTTATTTGTAAAACGATAATGCTTGTTAACAACTGCATTTAATACACTTTTCTTTAATGTCGTTTTCCTATTTTATCATTTCTGGTTTTCACTACAAAATATTTAAAGTGCATAAGGGATTAAAAGTTTGTTTTTCTCAGATGTAAAATCAGTTCTTGCTACCCGACCCAGTTTTAGGTATAAATATTTTATTTAAAATTATTTCAGAATGAAAAAGATAGTATATTTATTGCGAAAGACGTGATATTCTTAAATTATTTCATGGGGGGGGGGGGGTGTAAAAACAACTGAAATTTTTGTTGACATCAATTATTTTTTTAATTCTATTGTTTCTCATTTTTAGCTAAGAAGAGAAGAGAAACAGAATTCAACAAAATTCATTTTTGAAAAATTTATTTTTTGCAAAAATTTTATTTCTATATATTTTTCAAATATTTTGTAAAATTTGAAATAATATTTATATTTTTGCGGCCACTAAACCAAAACTTAAAAAAAAAATGTTCTAGATATCGGCCTGGAGCCAAGAAAATAGACGTTCTTGCTCGTATTCTCTTCCCAGCAACATTTGCAGGCAAAAAATATTTTTTTTCTAAGCAAATCATGCATTTAAGTATTTACCCTTTCTTTAAGAAGATTGACAATCAAAAATAAAATACTGTTTATACTATTAGAATCATTTATAATATGTTATAAAAAAATTTGATTCTACTTACAATGAAATGATTTTAATCCAAGCAAAGAATTATTAAATTATATAATACTAGCCATAGAGGGCGCTTCGCGCCCATCTTCTAAATTAATTGTGAACATGTTCTCTTTGTGTACATCGTAAAAGAAAACAAAAATAATTCGCGGATTTTTAAAAAAAATTTCGTGGATTTTCAAAATTTTAAAAAATTTAATGAAGATCGAATTTTGATGGAGACAAATATTTAAAATTTAAATCATTCATAAACCTTCCCCTGTCCCACAAAAAAATTGGACCCGATCGGTTCAGCCGTTTAGACGTTTATTGGATACAAACAGACATACAGACAAACAGACAGACAAGCCAAATTTATATATAGATTGCTTTAAAAAAAGTGACAATCAAAAACTAAAACAATTTATTTTATTAGATTCATAATATGTTATACAACATTAAACTAATCATCCTTATTTCAATAGATTTACAAAAAGAAAATAAAGAAAAAATATTTGCTAAATTTTAGAATTTTGAAAGTTTCGTTATTTATTTTTTTTACATAATATATTTATCAGGTTTGAATGTGTTCTACTGGTCCTATTATCTCTCAATGGCAGAATATTCAAATTTCTCCAACATCACAACTGATTAGAGCTTAATCATAATTGACCAAAGTTTTATCACAATTCATTAGAGCTTTATCACAATTGATTACAGTTTTATCACAATTGATTAGAGCTTTATCACAATGGATTATAGCTTTATCACAACTGATTAGAGCTGTATCACAACTGATAAGAGCGTAATCACAACTCATTAGAGCTTTATTACAACTGATTACTGCTGTATCACAAATGATTAGAGCTTAATCACAACTGATTAGAGCTTAATGAAAACTGATTAGAGCTTTATCACAAGTGATTAGACCTTTATCACAACTGATTAGAGCTTTATCACAACTGATTAGAGCTTTATCAACTGATTTGAGCTTTATCACAACTGATTAGAGCTTTATCACAACTGATTAGAGCTTTATCAACTGATTTGAGCTTTATCACAACTGATTAGACCTATATCACAACTAATAAAAGCCTGATTATAAAGTTTTCACAATTAATTATCACGTAATAAGGCCGGCCCCTGCCGACAGTAAATGTATCGCGAAACATGATTGGTAAAAACGCAATTTCTAAAAAAATTATTATTATTAAAAATATGAATTTGTTAATGTGTACATTAATTAATACATTTGAGGGATAAGTTGGTTGGCATAAACTGAGTTTTGTTTAGTCAAGGGATTTTGATCAAGTTATTAAAACTAAATTCAGTTTTTTTTTCTAGAGTCAAATCCTCTAAAATATTGATGTTTCAATATCCTAGTCTGAAAGCTATAAGTAAATTGCCTGCAGCGAATGTAAATTATTTCTAAGGTTTTCAAGTCCAAAAAGCTTTAGGTAGAGGAATTTTCTTTATAAATTTTTAAAAATTTTTTGTTAAATCAATATATATATACAGATCAGAGAATTTTTAAAAATATATATTCTCTTAAAAATCCCTAAAATAAGTTGAATTGTGTACAGTTAATGAAAACATTTTTGAAATTATGATTAAAATGTTTCTACAATTTAGAGAAAATATTTTTATTATTCATAATTCAGTTGTAAAGTTAAAATGAAATCTAATTTTGACTAAATTTTGTTAGTTATATATTTATAAAATACGATCCCAACCATTTACTACAGGTCCAAGCGATAAGACATTCAGATATTGTAAAATAGAATACATTGTTTTATTAATGTAGACAAGAAAATGATACAAAAATTGAATATTTGCCACAAACTCAAATATTCAATCTTTGGAACCTGCAATGTTGTAACCTTTGATATTTCAAGCTCAGAATATTTGATCTAACAGAATCAGAGTTTGAAATATCTAGAGTCTACAACATTTGGTTTCAGAGATATATTGATTAGAAAATGAGAGTTTGGGGCAAAGACCCAATTCCTTTATTAGAAATAATTCAAACTATTTGACCAAAGTTAGTAATTTATTGAGAGTACAAAGATATATTTCTATCTGATGCTAGTCTTGTAAAATGTATTATATTTGTTTGTATTTATATTAAATAATAGAATAAATAAGGATAGATTAAAGATTAGCTGTGTTAAAACAAAATAGAGGAAACATCCATGACAAAAAAATAGAGAATCAAAGCTCTTTTAAAAATTGAAGGATTAAGAAATCATTAACCCTACCACGATTGGGCTATTTTTGTCTATTATATGTTTGCCCTTAGAGTTGAGAAAAGAGAGTGTGATACATGTCCCTAGGCCTGCTCATTAATACATGTCCCTAGGCCTGCTCATTAATACATGTCCCTAGGCCTGCTCATTAATACATGTCCCTGGGCCTGCTCATTAATACATGTCCCTAGGCCTGCTCATTAAAAAACATTGTTAGACCTCTAACTTCAATGATTATGGTGAAAGGGAGGATTTTTAATGAGTTCAAAAAGTATGTAAAAAAAATTTTCAAAAATAATCATTCTTACTTATGACAAATATTAACATATGACACATGTTATTATGTCACTTTCTCAAGGCCTTTTTAAAAATATAAGTTTTAGCCCTGTAGCTTAATTAATAAATTAAGTTTGTTTAAACCCCGACCCATTTGACCATTCTCCACTCTACCCTATGCATTAAAAAAAAAGATTTTTTGTAAGCAAAATTTGTTAACAACTTTAATGTTAGAAAAGTGAAGAAGTTTTAGCGTTCTAATGTAAGCAATTTTTACTTACTTCAGAATCTAGGTTATAATGCAAGGAAAGTTATTTCAGAGGTGTACGCATCTTTTGTTCTGCAGTGTACTGTATCTCGGCGGTAATGTAAACACAAGACGGATGTCAAAGCCTGACATGGGATCCATCGTTCATAGAAAAAAACAATGAAATATTCTGATCATAGGAAACTATTATGTGAATTATCAAAATTATCCAAATTTAATGCTTTTAACCTTCAAAACGAACACTGATGCATCTATATTCTTGTTTACAAATTCCGCCCGGAGAGAACTTGTTTCAATATGTACGCAGAGTATACACAACTGCAATTAACTTTCCTTGCATTGTTACCTTGTTATAATGGACAAATAAAGATGAAAAATTAAGAGAGAACCCTAATTTCAACTTCAATTTATCAAAGATAACTTTGTGACTGGTGGCGCAAGATGAATTCTTTTGCCATAATTCATTTTTATAGACGAGAAAAATAATAGTTTAATCTCATACCCGAATATCGTTTCACTTTTGCATATTTTTCACTAAATAACTAATCCTACCTGAGCTGGGAACTTTTTATTGGTGGATATATAATATCAAGACTGATCTAATCTTGTACTTTTATCCTGAAAAGTGTAAAAAATTCATAAAATCACAGTCGCGTATATGAAGCCGATAAATTTAAAATTTTGCCCGCCATTTAAAATTATATACAGAAACGGGAGGGACTCTCTATTTTAAAAAAACCGGTTTAAGAAGAAAATCAAAAGTGTGTCCATGGATATTAAATTAAGTAATCGGGATTAAGGATATATCATTCTAAAGTTTTCAGCTCAGAGCTGAAAACTTTAGAATGGTGGATATTGAGATTAATGCTTGATCTCCTCTTTTTCTTAATCTCCAGATTAAATAATGCATCTTGTTCTCATCTTGTTATTAATCTCTAGATTAATTAACCGATCAGGATTAAGGATATCTCATTCTAAAGTTTTCAGCTCTGGTTTCCCAATACACGTGGGAATTAAGTGAACCCCCCCCCCCCTTAGATAGTTTACGCAACGTCAAAGACAAATAATGCGTCAATTAATAATTCTAAAATCCGCGAAAATTTTAGAACAATACTGAATTTCAGAGCAATTAGTATAAAGCTAAAGTACTTGCATTACAAAACACTCAAACCCTTTATGCAAACAAAGATATCAAATCTTCCTTGCTTTGGTCAGATTGGGAAAAAAAGAATATGAGGATAATAGTAAAGATCACAACAGTTTCAATAGAAGTAAATATTTCCATCCAATGATAACGCTGATTGAAGGATTCATCTCTAATTGGAAATTGAGATAGATAGAAAGATAGATGTTACCGCCATACTATTTCTATTGGTTCAGAATAGACAACAAACACATGACTGAACCCTGATTGGATTTGGCGCTAATGGACTCGGCATACAGAAGTGAGATGTGGGAAAATGGAGGGAAAATACCATGTAAGAATGAAAAAATCAAAAGGGGGAACATGAAGGAGAAATATGGAAAAATACAAAATAACAGAGAAAAAAAAGTGAAAACGAAAGAAAATTACAAAATAAGAGGGAAAAAATGAAAAGGTGGAAAAAAAGGAGAAATATGGAAAAATACCAAGTAAGAATGAAAAAGGAAAAGGTGGAAAACAAAGGAGAAATGTGGAAAAATACAAAATAAGAGAGAAAAAAGAAAAGGTGGAAAATGAAGGAGAAATAGGGAAAAATACTATGAAAGAAAAAAGGAGAAATTCTTGACATTTTCAGATCCCACAATGATAACCAGAAAACTGTAGAATAGGAAGACGACATTAAAGCAATACTGAAGTGCATTTGATGTTGATAAGTTATTAAATCCCTTCTAAGTGCAATGGGTCTGTTTCACTGCACATTTGCTGTGCCTCATGTTCATTGGACTATTAGGAGTCATAAATTGAGTCTAAAATTCGACTTCCTATTCTAGAGTTTTCTGGTTATAACTGTATTTAGTACGAAGCCCTGTTAACAACATGTACATCAACAATTTTGTGAAATCTGTTTTTGAAGGCAAATGATCAAAAGGAACATTTGTACAATGCAAATATAAGATAATATGATTTTTTAACATAAAAAAGTATAAGAAGAATAATAATTTATTAAGAAGAATTATTTTACAACATACTAAATATTCTTGTATAAATACATATAAATATATATATATACATATATATATATGTATAAAAATAGATATATATGTAACATAATCTGTCTTAAGAACAGTAGGTTATTCCATTAACCAACTCTAGACTGTAGAGTATATCTAATACTTTCAATACAATACAAATATGTTTTCTTTTATGACATTACCCCCAAAAATAGAATGGCTTTCTATCCAATATAAAATTACTCAAAAATATATAGATTCATATAGATATATTATGTTTAGATTATATCTATCTATCTATTATATATTCAACATAATACAAACAAATCTAGTTTTAATGGTAAATAAAATTACCGGAGAATAAATATATATTCTTTTATGAAATTACCCCCCAAAAAAGAATAGCTTTCTTTTTAACAGAAAATTATTAAAACATATAAAGATACAGATCTCACTAAAGATTGGAGCAAGTCCATGAAACACAGTGTAGGAGAATGTAAATCTGTTTTTTGAATAAAAAATAAATTGAGTACAGATACATATAGATACATATAGAGTAGATTATATCTTTCTATCTGTTATACTTGGAATACAATACAAACAATTCTTTTTTAATGGAAAATATTGATTACCAAAGAAGAGATATGTATGCTTTGCTTTAATGAATAACTTTCTATCTAACTGAAACTTGCTAAAAAATATACATATATATTATGTGCAGAGGTATATCTATCTATCTTTTATACATTGATACAACATAATTCACAAAATTCTCTTTTAAAGGGACAGGCCGGCTATGTATTAAACTGAGTATGCAGTGTTGTGGACAAATTCTTTAGGATTTATTGGAGACATATAAAATGTTTCCACGATTTAAAACTTCTGAGTTTGAGCGCAAAGTCGACGTTCAAAATAAAAAATTAGTGTTATAGTATATAATAGTTTTAATATTGAAAAATGTTAGTTTTAAAACTCAGAAAAAAATGCACGGAATTTGAAAAGTAAGTTTTTTTTGCTCCTGTTGCTTGTTTTGCTAGGAAATTAAGTTTAATCAATGGAAGCTGCTTTTAACTATGATTTGCTTTCTTCTTCTTAATTTGCTTAAATGTGGGTTGTTATAGTTTGCTCATATCTGCTTGTTTTGCTCTGAAATGAAGTTTAATCCACACATGTTGCTTATAATTATGATTTGCTTGCATCTGTTCTACTTATCTGGCTGTTATGTGTGAATTGTTATGAATTGCTCTCATATGCTTGGTTTGCTCTGAAATATAGTTTTCCCGACAAATGTTGCTTTGGATCATGATTTGCTCTATTTTATTTTTATAGCTCACATATATTTTTCTTTTTTAGGTGTGAATTGTTAGGTAAATGTGGTGAAACTAATTAAAAAGCAATTTAAGTTTTACATTGTTTCTGTGTGGTGAGAAACTTTCATGCTATTTATCTTTTAGTTTATGTCATCATAGTAGAAATCTCACAGGAATGTAGGTTGGTTTTAAATTCTAAGTTGAGTATAGGTTGACTTTTAAAGGAAAACATTAGATAACAAGCTAAATAAAGACTTTCATGTCCTATATGTTTAAAAAAAAAATTTCAATAATTTACAGATTAATGTAGAAAAAAATTTATTTTCAAAGATTTACATAAAGCGAAAATAGTCTGTTTATTCAGTGCATTTTAATTTTTAACTTTTTGTTATTTCTTTCAGACTAAATTTGATGAAAATTAAAAATATTTTCTTCTAAATTGCAGAACGAAATTTAGAACAAAAATCGAAGTAATCTATTCAGGCCCAGGGTTACCCCTAAAAAAGATACTATAACG